GTAAGGAAAGTATTGTCATCTATTTATGTGACATTTATGACACCAGTAAACTGGGTAAGGAAAGTGTTGTCATCTATTTATGTGACATTCATGACACCAGTAAACTTGGTAAGGAAAGGGTTGTCATCTATTTATGTGACATTCATGACACCAGTAAACTGGGTAAGGAAAGTGTTGTCATCTATTTATGTGACATTTATGACACCAGTAAATTGGGTAAGGAAAGTAAAAATTCATTTTTTGGGAAGAAACCCAGAACTGGCTCGTTCGATTTAAATATGAAGTTTGCAATTTGAACAATGAATCAGCATCATGGCACACGGGTAGTAACCCGTAAGTGCTCCGTTCCTCTTCTTGCTCAAGTCTGAGTTTAAAGAAGCTCAGCACAGTGCACAGGCTCTGTAGCACCCGCGAGGATCCTGAAATACTTTTGGGTAGATTTTTAACTTCAAAATTTTCCCGGGCAGCGCCGTTAGGCTACTCTTTTCGATTTCCAACTGCCAAGAGATTTTTTACGTGCGCAATAATGCTCACGGGCGTCCGATCTTACTACGCAGAGGCCAGGGGTAATTACTAGAAGTCGAAGTCCACGTAAAAAAAGTCTCAGCCCTTACTAGGGATTGAACCTGAAACCTCTAGCACTCTAGGCGCACAATATGCCTCGAAACCATGTAGCCCAAACATGCAAAGTTTTACGCAGATCCATAACAATCATCGCTGGAGCTACGGAGTTAGTACTTTGAGTGACACTCTCAACAGGCAGCTGTTTTGATAAAATGGTAAATTTAGGATAAAAAACTAGGTGCACGAGAGGAATGGGACACAAGAACAGGATAATTGAATAATGTGTGCAGAATAACCTAGGGCTGTATTTAGACATTCGCATCGCACACAGCTGTACTGGGTGGCGCCATTTTTGGGGGGAGCAATATTTTGAGGGTGGCAAAATCTAACTGGTACTAATTTTAAGAAAAAATTTAATGTTGCTTTTGGTATTACGAAGCACGAATTAGATTAGCCTTGTTGCAAGAAATAGTATGGCAATAACGATGGCATTAAATAAGTGACTGCACAGGGAGAGAAAGGCCCTTAATCCAAACTACGGACTTGGAATAAAGAACAGACGCTCAGTGAGTTGGCTGGTACTCAAAGAGGTATGGTCCGTTTCAAAAATCGTGGCCTCAGACTTAAAAAAGTTCGCATTAGCTGGAAACCTCATGTACGGATCAATAGGAATTTTTGCCCGTGGTCTTGGATTTCCAATGTTCTTATGATATTATAATATACAATTACAAGTGTGCTAAGGTTTTCTTAAAGCGGTGAATTTTTTTGATCTCGTTTAGGACTAATCATTTTTACACCCCTAAAAAAAAAAAAAAAAATAGAATTTACAGTAACTGATACAAAATATTTATTTTTAATCATTAAAAAAAAGTGATTTTTTTTTAAGGAAATCATTTTATATGTGCAGTAATGCGTGATTATTATTTTGATAGCCTATCCTGCATACAGTGAAACACTGTGTTCGGATAACTGACATGTGGTTAATGCAGGAGATTAATCACATGAGAGTGAGTCTATGAGCTGAGCTGCTTACGTGAATGATATTATGTCAGTACATGACGTATCCAATTTACTATTTAAAATAAGTGCACCTTGCATGGATTACTCCTACAACATGTGGAATTTGATGTTTTGGAAACATCACATTACTCCATGAACTGTAAACATTCTAGGTGTTTGCTTTGCACTGGGGAGGACAAGAACAAGCAGGTGGCTGAAGTGGGGACAGTTTGGTGTGACTTGGCTGAAGACCTATGCTCCGTCGGTGTTTATGGACATAACTAGCAGCAGTAGCAGCAACAGTGTAGTAGTAATGGTGGTAGTATTAGCAGTAGCGGCAGCAGCAGTCGTCATGATGGTACGGAGGGGGGGGGGAGGAGTGTGTGTGTTGAGGGGGAGGGGCTGGGGGAGCGGTGGGGGGGGGGGGGGAGCGGGGCGGGGGCGGTGGGGGGGTCATATTCAGGCCCGCCGCTTCACAGAAACATTTGTGGTACGTAGAACCCCTCCTCCCCACAATACACACAATACTGTCCTAGGGGAAGGAAAAGAACACGAAGCCTTGTTTAACTGCGCAATAATGATAAAAGCAATAATAATTAGTACTAATATTGTGTAATTAAACGGCACTTAAACCCTTTGAACTAATACATCCAGCCTCTATAAAAATTACTGGACGGGGTCTCTGTGGGGTTAGACCCTTGTTTAACTGCGTAATAAAAATAATTATGATTAATGGCGCAATCAAAGTAATAACTGTAATCAAAATCATGTGCTGATTGAAAAAAAAGTATATGTAAAATAATATTAAACGTGTAAACACATGCATAACACAGGGAAGGGCGATATATTTGGGAGTGGGTGGAGGGGGGGGGGGGGGGGGGGTGGGGGTATGCTTCTTTAATCCAAACCCTACAGAATTTTGGACCCCTGATGTTTGAGTTCCTTAGTTCCGGCAGCAACAGTAGTCATGGCCATGGTAGTTCTAGTGAAGGTCATCATGGTAGTTCTAGTGAAGGTCATCATGGTAGTTCTAGTGAAGGTCATCATGGTAGTTCTAGTGAAGGTCATCATGGTAGTTCTAGTGAAGGTCATCATGGAGGTAGTGACGGGTGTAGCACTTATAGAAGTTTGGGTAGTGAAGGGTGTAACACTTATAGAAGTTTGGGTAGTGAAGGGTGTAGCACTTATAGAAGTTTGGGTAGTGACGGGTGTAGCACTTATAGAAGTTTGGGTAGTGACGGGTGTAACACTTATAGAAGTTTGGGTAGTGACGGGTGTAGCACTTATAGAAGTTTGGGTAGTGACGGGTGTAGCACTTATAGAAGTTTCGGTAGTGAAGGGTGTAGCACTTATAGAAGTTTGGGTAGTGACGGGTGTAGCACTTATAGAAGTTTGGGTAGTGACGGGTGTAGCACTTATAGAAGTTTGGGTAGTGACGGGTGTAGCACTTATAGAAGTTTGGGTAGTGAAGGGTGTAGCACTTATAGAAGTTTGGGTAGTGACGGGTGTAGCACTTATAGAAGTTTGGGTAGTGAAGGGTGTAGCACTTATAGAAGCTTGAGTAGTGAAGGGTGTAGCACTTATAGAAGTTTGGGTAGTGAAGGGTGTAGCACTTATAGAAGTTTGGGTAGTGAGGGGTGTAGCACTTATAGAAGTTTGGGTAGTGACGGGTGTAGCACTTATAGAAGTTTGGGTAGTGAAGGGTGTAGCACTTAATAGAAGTTTGGGTAGTGAAGGGTGTAGCACTTAATAGAAGTTTGGGTAGTGAAGGGTGTAGCACTTATAGAAGTTTCAGTAGTGACGGGTGTAGCACTTATAGAAGTTTGGGTAGTGACGGGTGTAGCACTTATAGAAGTTTGGGTAGTGACGGGTGTAGCACTTATAGAAGTTTGGGTAGTGAAGGGTGTAGCACTTAATAGAAGTTTGGGTAGTGAAGGGTGTAGCACTTAATAGAAGTTTGGGTAGTGAAGGGTGTAGCACTTATAGAAGTTTGAGTAGTGAAGGGTGTAGCACTTATAGAAGTTTGGGTAGTGAAGGGTGTAGCACTTATAGAAGTTTGGGTAGTGACGGGTGTAGCACTTATAGAAGTTTGGGTAGTGACGGGTGTAGCACTTATAGAAGTTTGGGTAGTGAAGGGTGTAGCACTTATAGAAGTTTGGGTAGTGACGGGTGTAGCACTTATAGAAGTTTGGGTAGTGACGGGTGTAGCACTTATAGAAGTTTGGGTAGTGAAGGGTGTAGCACTTAATAGAAGTTTGGGTAGTGAAGGGTGTAGCACTTAATAGAAGTTTGGGTAGTGAAGGGTGTAGCACTTATAGAAGTTTGGGTAGTGACGGGTGTAGCTCTTATAGAAGTTTGGGTAGTGACGGGTGTAGCACTTATAGAAGTTTGGGTAGTGAAGGGTGTAGCACTTATAGAAGTTTGAGTAGTGAAGGGTGTAGCACTTATAGAAGTTTGGGTAGTGAAGGGTGTAGCACTTATAGAAGTTTGGGTAGTGAAGGGTGTAGCACTTATAGAAGTTTGGGTAGTGAAGGGTGTAGCACTTATAGAAGTTTGGGCAGTGAAGGGTGTAGCACTTATAGAAGTTTGGGTAGTGAAGGGTGTAGCACTTATAGAAGTTTGGGTAGTGAAGGGTGTAGCACTTATAGAAGTTTGGGTAGTGACGGGTGTAGCACTTATAGAAGTTTGGGTAGTGAAGGGTGTAGCACTTATAGAAGTTTGGGTAGTGAAGGGTGTAGCACTTATAGAAGTTTGGGTAGTGAAGGGTGTAGCACTTATAGAAGTTTGGGTAGTGAAGGGTGTAGCACTTATAGAAGTTTGGGTAGTGACGGGTGTAGCACTTATAGAAGTTTGGGTAGTGAAGGGTGTAGCACTTATAGAAGTTTGGGTAGTGACGGGTGTAGCACTTATAGAAGTTTGGGTAGTGAAGGGTGTAGCACTTATAGAAGTTTGGGTAGTGACGGGTGTAGCACTTATAGAAGTTTGGGTAGTGACGGGTGTAGCACTTATAGAAGTTTGGGTAGTGAAGGGTGTAGCACTTAATAGAAGTTTGGGTAGTGAAGGGTGTTGCACTTAATAGAAGTTTGGGTAGTGAAGGGTGTAGCACTTATAGAAGTTTGGGTAGTGACGGGTGTAGCTCTTATAGAAGTTTGGGTAGTGACGGGTGTAGCACTTATAGAAGTTTGGGTAGTGAATGGTGTAGCACTTATAGAAGTTTGAGTAGTGAAGGGTGTAGCACTTATAGAAGTTTGGGTAGTGAAGGGTGTAGCACTTATAGAAGTTTGGGTAGTGAAGGGTGTAGCACTTATAGAAGTTTGGGTAGTGAAGGGTGTAGCACTTATAGAAGTTTGGGCAGTGAAGGGTGTAGCACTTATAGAAGTTTGGGTAGTGAAGGGTGTAGCACTTATAGAAGTTTGGGTAGTGAAGGGTGTAGCACT